CTACTAAAACTTTCTATATACTTCTTTTTTGTTTATTCATAGTAGTTTTCTTTTTTTTAAAAAGTACTTTAAACTGTATAAATAATCTAAAATTAAATTGATTTAAGCAGCCAATCATACAAATGCCTGCCTACTAATTTTCCTACCACTTTCTGATTGGTTCTACTAATTATTCTCATATCGGAGTATCTGTGCTATTAATCAATTTTATAGTACTCCGATAGTGAAGTGGTTTGAAAATTAGTAAACCCATAATGTTGGTTGGTTAGTAATTATTGCTTGGTTAGTAATTATTGCGACATTATTGTTATTCATATTATTAAGTTGTTTGTGATAATTGTTAATTTGTAATAATTGTGTAATTTTTGCGTACTGTGCGGTATTATTTGATGATTACTGAATTTGTAATTATTGCGACATTTTTGTTTGCTGTATAGTATTGTACCCACGATGATCGGTGATTTTGTAAATATTGTGACATATTGTGTGTTGAGGATCTGTACTATTATGAAATTCACGATTACTTGCATTTTAGATTTTCCTTATTAACATGACTATACGTGAAATTAAAGTGATTATAAATTTCATTGAATATATTTAAATTACATTTTTTTAAAGTCATCTACTGTAGTTTGTTATTTGTTTGAGATTTTAATGAATGGAAATTCACATGGTTTTTATGTTAATTATAAATAGATAGTATAATAAGAAAAGGTTTATTTATTGTATTTTATTTGTTGGTTTTTTTTTTAAGTTACTTAATTTTGTTAGTATTTTTTTGTTAGTATTTTTTTGTTTGGCTTAATTATGTAGTCATTTTGTTGTCAGTTATTTTTGTTTATTTGGTTTTTAGTTTTCGTTGCGATTTGGTATTATTTAGGTAAGTGTTTGTAGTAGAAATTTTATATAATAAGTTTATGGTTTGAGGTTTGATTTTAAGTTATTTTTATAGTTTTTATCGTTTAAATATAAACTTATTTTGGTATTAATTTATTATTATGCCATGTTACAGAGATACAATTGTGAGAATAAAGCTTGTTTGGCAAACTGTAAAGGAAAATAATAACTTTATTGTGTTATGGGCTGTTGGTTCATATCCTGTGGAGCGCAAAAGTAATGATCTTGAGATGGTTTGATTTATACCAATTGAATCTGGCGAAAGAGATTTTGAAACTCAGACCATTTTTGAGAAGGATTGATTTTATTCTGTTGGGGGTAAAATTATATCTGGTCAATATGAAAGTAATAAATGGCCAAAGGTATTAGTTAATATTTATTGGATTTTTTTTTTTTTTAAGTATGTTTATTTTATTTAATTTTTTTTTTTTAGATGATTGTATCTATTTCAACTGATATTGTGCTTTTAAATAAGGTTTCTAAATTAAATAAATGTCCTTTAAAAGTTTTTCTAGTTGGAGTTCTACAGGAATTGTCAATAGTTCTGGAGAACAGTGAAGATGCTATCTTTAATGTGTTTGTAACTGATCATGTTCTTGGTCAGGAGTGGAATTATGTTGTTGAAGTGGTTTTTCCTCATTTTAATCCAAGATTCACTCATTTAAAGACTTTGGTTCGCCCAGAAGAATCACTTGTTTTTGTTGTTGGTCAAATGGAAGTTATTCATAATGATTTTTATATTTATGCGAGAGATATTAATCTTATCGATATTAATCGGCTTAAGAGGAAAATTTTTGATAATAATAGTTTTGATTGCCCGATTGAAGGTGTTAATATGACTCGTTCAAACCTCCTTTTTATGCACCAAAATATTAATAATAAATCGAGAAATGTTCATAATGTTGAAGATTCACCGTCAGCTTTAAACGATTCTTTTGATGAATTTCGTTCTGGTTTATCTTCAACTGATAATATTACTTCAAAATGTGTAAGAGTTGAATCTTGTGGTGAAAGTGATGATGATTTTGATAGCATTGACAAATGCGATGTTGAATTTGATAAGTCTAATTGTTTAAATGAAATTTTTGAAGGTAATACGTTTAGTGATTCATCAAAAAAAGGAAATTCTCAAAAGAGTAAGAAAGACAAAGAGCCTGTTGGTGGTTCTTTACGTACTGCTTTGAGATCTCATAAGTCTGGTGTAGGCAGTGAAAAGTAGAGAATATATTGACTTTATTTATAGTATTCATGTTAATTTTTTTTGTTATACGTATTTATATGATTTATGTGTAAAATTGAAATGGATAGTTTTATATTAAGTTTTATGTTATTTTTTAGTGTTTTTTGTTGATTTATTTTTAAGTTATTTTTTTATATGTTTTTTATGGTTCAAGTATTGTGGTACGAATTTTTGTTCAAAATGTTATAACGAATAAAAGGTTATTTTTGCTTTTTAAATAAATTTAATTAAGTATTGTTCGCCGGTTTTGAATGATTTTTGATCTATTTGTTAGTGTAAATTTAAATTTTATTTGTTAATGTAGTAATAATTAAATTTTTGGTAGTTTTAGGATTTCATTAATACGTAGTTATTTATTAAATATTTTAAATTATTAAGATGTTTTGTATTTTAAGTTAATGAGTTTTTTTGTTTTATATATAGAAAAAAAATAATGGTTTTAATTTTTTAATAAGGATTATATGATGGTAATTATATATTAATTTTATTTTTTGTGGTTTGCATAGTTTTTTAGTTGCATTAATCGAATGATATATTTATTTATTGTTTTATTGTAATTAATTTTAGTTGGGTTAAGTGTTAATTTTGTAATGTTTATGTTTTTAATGTGTTGAACATGTAAATTATTTAGTATAAATAGAGTGTTATTTAAGATTTTTTATTTCGATTGAATTTGTGAATTTTATAGTTATGTTTGTAAAGTTTATTATAGTTTATTTATGTTAATGTTTAAAAGTTTTTTGTATTAGTTAGTATAAAATTGTATAAATAATAAGAAATTGGTATTTTGATGGTATTTTTAACTTTTTATTTAATGAAATATCTTTTTAATTTGGTATTTTTTAAGTTTTGAAACTTAAATGTTTTGTGGTTGGTTTATTTATGTTATGGTTGTTTTCTAGTAATTGTAATATTAGGTTTTTAAAGTTTTAATTGTTTAAATATTATTTTATCGATGTACATATTTATAGTTTTCAACGTAATAGTTATGATTTGTTTTTATTTTATTTATTTTCTTTGTTAGGTTCAAATTTTTAGGTTATAATTTTTTTATTTCGTAATTTAAATTGACACTATTTATTTATGACTTTTTTAAGGTTTGAATTTAGTTGTATTTGTTATGAAATGTTAATATTTGAGTGTTTTTTTTCAATTTTTGAAATTTGTATTAGTTATAATGAAGTATGCTATGGATTATTGTAGGACATATTTTTTTTTGACTATTTAGTTAAAGTGTTATTATTCTTGAGGTGATGTTAGAAAGTGGATTTTTTTGATAAGCTGTTTGTGTTTTATAGTAGTAGGTTTGGGGTTTTTTTTTATTTGTTGTTTATTGTTTATAGAATTTTAAGCTTCTAATATTTCTTTGTATACAACATTACGTGTATAAGTTCTTTTTACTCTGGAATAGTTCTATTCTTTACTAATACTTTGATATCATTTTACGATTTGGCTCTTGAAAACGCGACATAAAGTTGACCATGTGTGAATACATGTTCGGGGAGGTAAAGGCCTATGCGTGGTATAGTTTGACCTTGGGATTTATTGATTGTTAATGCAAATGCAGGTCTGATTGGAAATTGCTTTCTTTTTAGTATGAAAGGTAGTTTAATATTTTCTGAGGGGATTAATGGTATTCGAGGAAGTAATGTGATATTTCCTTTATAGTTTTCTGTTGCTATTATTGCTTCAATTAAATTTGGATGAAATGTTCGACAAATTAATCTTGTTCTGTTGCACAGACCATTTTCGGGTCTAAGTTGTGAAGGCACATGATTGGGGAACCTATTTTTAAGTGTAATTCATGTAGTGGGAGTCCATTAGGTGTTATTGAATTTAGAAATTCTTGTTGATAAAGCCCTTGCATGTCGTCTAGGACAGAATCAAAACTACGGTATGTTATAGTGTTACCAGGCATTTGATTTAATATTATGTCATTAATGTGATCAACATATTTATTTTTGATAGTAAGTATTGCTCAATCTGTAAAGTAAGAATAATGTTCTGGTGGATCTGAATAGACATATCTTATAAGTGACTGTATAGAGTGTTTATTTTCCCAGGGGATAACCATGTTGTCAGGAATACGAATCATGTTGCCATTAATAGTAGGCTCAGTTCCATTTCCAATGTTTAGTAGATAGTTTTTAAAGTGTTCATTATTTTGTTCATTGTTAACTCTCATATTTTTGTGTAGTTTTAAAATTTTTATTTTGGGCCATATGGAAGAATATTTTAAGGATGCATTTATTATTTGTGTTCAGCTACTGTGTCGAACCACAGATAGTATTTGGCGAAAATCTCCTCCGAAGACTACGATTTTCCTGCCAAATAAATAATCACACCCCATTAAATCTTTAAGGGTTCTATCTAATTCTTCTACTGCATGACGATTCATCATAGAAATTTCATCCTATATAATTAGTTTAGTCATGCGTAGTAGTAAAGTTAATTGACTTTGTTTACTAATACTATATATTGAATTGGGTCAAAGAGATAGAGGTATGTTGAATCTGGAGTGTGCTGTTCGTCCTCCGGGCATGATCAGTGCGGCAATCCCGGAAGATGCTGTTGCAAGTGCAATAAGTGAGAGTGAACGAACTTTACAGAGTAAACATAGATAAAGGAAAGTTTTTCCGGATCCTGTGGGTCCGTCGATGAAAAAGACATCTGGTTGATTTTTCTATTACATATCTCATAACCTTTTTATATATTGCTCTTTGGTCTTTATTTAACAGTTTAATTTTTTCTAAGTCGTTATTTGTTACTGAAATATTTAATTCTTCTAATATTATTCTTGTAAATTGTTCTTCGGTTTGTTTATTAGAAAGGTTTAAAGGTGGAAAATCATATTCTTCTATGCACTTATTATGTTGTTCTAAAATTTTTTAATTTGAATAAGGACTGTGTTGATAAAAAATTGTCCATTTGGAATGCCTTTTTTTATAAAATCTTCAGACATGGCATCAAAATTTTCATTTCAAAGTGTTCGAATATCACTTGGCTCTCCAAAAATTAATATAATTGCAAATAATTTCCTAAGGGCACATGGCATTTTAAATTGTTTGGCTTCTTGCATAGTATTTCGGTATGGATTTTCTGCTTCGATAATCCCACGCACGTAGTAAAGCACTTTCTTGAAATGTCTTACATTAGTAGTTTCCAATGGTTTTAAGGTCTGTATAAGATGTAGCACCTTTTATGTGATTGAGAAGTAATTGTAAGTAATACTTTTCTCCTTCATTTGGATTGACAATATATATTCTCCCAATCATATTTTTTTGGTTACATTTTGTCCATTTTTTCTCTAATTTAATGTTGTGGAAATTCACAGTAGAAATAATTTTTGGCTTCGGGATCAATTTTATTCATCTCAAAATATTCGGTTAATGTTGTTTTTTTATTATGCTCATCATTAATTATATTAGCAGGTTTGCGTTTTGCGGAAAAGTTACCGTTTGTTGATATGGAACATATAAAAAAAAGTTCATTATATAAAATTGCATACTACTAATTTTTAGTATTCCAATTAGCAAAGGAAAACTTATTTTTCAAGCTTTAGTAATACAATTCGCAAGATTCGAATCAATTACGTCCCTATGAGAAAAGTGGTCCGGGTTGTGGCTCGGGTTGGTTTCGGGAATGCACGAAATGGTACGGATGTGTGGCACGTAGAGGCTCATTTTACGTGATGGTACGGCTAAAAATGGCACGGACATTACGGAAAAGTGGTCGTATTGAATGATACGTATATGCACGTGTCTCAAGAGCGAAGGATCAGTGTTTTTTTATGAAAAAAAATGCAATATCTCAAAATTTCACTGATTAAATTGTTCTGCATATCTTAACGAAAAATATTCCTTGCAGAATTTTGTACATATGCAATTACTTTAATTTTCAAATATGTATTATATTAATGATACTTGAAGTAAATTATGTTTTTATGGTGGTACGTGAATTTACGTACGTCCGTACCAAACCCCGTACCAATTGGACTAGTAAAGTGTTGCAAAACCCACGGTCCAATTGGCACTGGTATACGGACCGACACGAGCCAAAACTCCGTGCCACTTCGAGCCTCTTACGTACAAAACCCGGGTTTTATCCGTGCCACCGAAACCCGTGCCATTACAGTACATTTTTCTTATAGGGCGTATCCAGTGAGTTTATTTATTGAATATGCTAAAATAGTTAATTCACAAATACAAGAAATAACGATGGAGTTGTTTTTTTTAGATAATTAAATTTTTAACTTTACTCAAATATTCTAATCAACCATTTTATGAGATCATTTACAGGATAATAGCTCACCATGATAACTGTTTTTAAATAATTTTTTCTGTCGTTAGTTATAATGCTGGTTTTTAAAAAATTTGAGTTTCTGTACCAATTCACTTGCTATTATCGTTCTAAGTTGTATTTGATATGGTTTTTTAGAATACTATAAATTGAATTTTCATAGTAACGAATATATTTCAATTGAATTGAACAAAATAAAAAAATTATTTTTATACTTAATAATTATTGATAAATATACTCTAGCAGTTTGTTAAAATACGTACATTACACAAAAATGACATGATCTTAATATTAATTGGCTGTGTATGAGCCGGTTGAGCATTACATAAGTATAAATAGGTTACAATACGTATACAACTGATTTGCATCAACCAATTATCCGAAATACTTTCATAAGTTATGAAGTAGTTTTAATTGACAAAATTAGCTATAAGTGAAGTAGTTTGAATGGAAAATGTGCACATTGTAACCGCTATAACACATCACCAACTTGGTGCCAGACATGTACCCGCAAGTGAGAATAAGAAAATTGATAAATATATTAAAATATATTAAAATATTTCTACTTAAAGTCGCAAAGTATGAGGATGTAATTGAGCGGATGACGAATGCACACGGTCACGTACACCACCATGCTTAGTAAAGCTTAGAATATTACATAATTCACAGATTTCAACAGACCTTTTAAAAGAGATAAAATAATATATTTATTATATGTATTTTTATTTTTGCGTACTTATAAATTAATTGTATTTCCCTATTTAATAAGTATATAGAAGATAGTGCCTTAAAATATATGGCCTAACTCAAAACACATCTACTAATGAGTATATGCTAATATCCGATATATTTCATTTCAGCAGAAGAGAAATGAATGGAAAATGTGAATATTATGTGAATATTGTTACCAATATAACACATCGCCAGCTTGGTGTCAGACATGTGACACTTATAAAATAACACAAGAATGGACAAGTAGAAATAAGGATATTGATGATTGTATTAAAAATCTTCAACTTAATGCCACGGATTATAGGAATGTAATTGAATGGATTCCTTTTGATAGATTGGATAATATTCAAAAGAATGGTAATGAATTGTCAGCAACCTGATTAGATGGCATGCGAATTACTGAGTATAATAATAAGGATAGGCTCATACAATCGCGTACCGCTTAAAGCATTGCATAGTTCTCAGAATCTGATAGACCTGTTGGAAGAGGTAAGATTAAATATATGCATATATTATATTTGTTTATTATATATTTTCATTTTTATATACACATATTTACCCAATTAATAAGTTTAAAGGCTACATAAAAGATAGCGGACTTAAAGTATATATGGGCTAACTCAAAATACAGTTAATAAATAATTATATGATGATATTTGATGGATTCAATTCTAAAAGAGACAAAAGTAGCGGAACTTGTAAATATTGTAAACAATATAACACATCGCCAGCTTGGTGTCAGGCATGTGGTCCTTATGAAGCAACGCAAGGATGGACAAGCGGAAAAAAGGATATTGATGATTGTATCAAAAAGTTTCAACTTAAGGCTACTGAATATGAGAATGTGATCGAGTGGATTTCTTTTAATAGACTGGATAATATTCAAACGAATGGGGATGAATTTTTTGTAACTTGCTTAGATGGCGTACGAATGATTTTTAAGGATAAATACTGGGGTGGATACACACAGTCACGTACGCCCCATGTATAATTACTCTTGAAACATTGCATAGTTCTCAGAATTTAATAGATCTATTGGAAGAGGTAAGATTAAATATAAGTTTATTATTAAGTTATGCATTTTTATTTTAAATACTCATACTGACCCAATTAATAACTTACATAGGAGTATTCGAAATAACGCGTAGATCAATTATTAGTGCGCAGGAGGGCATTATTTCGCGTTTCTATGTATTTTATTTGGGCTGGTCGCGATTTGGTTAGTTGGTTATATCGAGTAAGATCATGAAGTACGAGTCTTCTAAAAAGTTTTTTTTTAAAAAACGTCTTAATTTTTTATTATGCAAACCAATTTCCATTTATAATTAAAAAAAATTTAGCCCGTTTCAAAATTTATTTGAAACTTGAAAAACTCAATTTTGATTTTCGGTGGAAGTTTGGCATTTTACTGCAAAGTCTCCATATGATTAGAATATATGCATAAATAGATTTTGCGACATATTGCTGCGCTGAATTAACTTTTAATTCGAAATTCTTAATAATTTCAGATCTAGTTATTTTGGAATCAACATAAGTTTATTCTAAAACCTAGCAAAATTCCATTTCGGTACAACATGTATATTGATATCACATAAGTTTATTATTTTATAATAGTTCTGAACTCTTTAAAAATATTTTTTTTTATGATAAGTATTATTTGTTTAGCTATCGCTAAAGTTTACATTAATTTGTACTCTACTGAAGTATATCCACACAAAGTTTAAATTAACCAGGTTATGTTTAGACGATACTTTTTCCTCACAAGTAGTGCTCCGAAAGAGTCATTCGGGTCGGGTTTGGAGTTAAACCCGTATTTGTTCGAACAAACTCGGGTTTGAACATCTCTACTCGTGTATTATTAACATTATCCGGTAGTTTATTATAGCTCAATCTCTAGGCAAATTTTTTAACTATACTGTACTTTTTCATGCACATTATACTTTTATCACTTGGGTTGTGTGCAAATTTTCGGGTTTTATGGTCTGGGGTCGAGTACCCGGGATTTTTGGTCCCTTTCGGAGCACTACTCACAAGTTTCTTAAATATTTAATCACAAAAACTATAAATCATTGTTTAAATTTCTTTAGAAGATTACTATGCTGGTTTTCAATATTAATTACTTAAAACTGCGAAACTATTTGTCATACTTATAACTAGTTTCTATTGTTTAAATTACAATTTTTGGCATTAACGTTCAATTAAATCTCGGATAAAATTGTCTTCCTGTCTTCAAATTGGTAAATTTTTAATTTTTCGTTTGTTGTACTTACATATCAGATATACAGAAAGGTTCTATTGAAAGAAATATAGAAGTTTAAGTTTGCTTTGTACAAATTTTGTTAAAACTGAAAATTTATTAAATAAACTAACTTTTCCTTTTTTTTCTGTTCTAATAATGGAATATTTCTGTCGTACAAATGTCTGCAATAATGTATACTTTTTTTAAATTCTGTTACAAATTGTTTGTGTATCGCGTACATACGGCTAATTATTGGTAGCGTAGAGGTTGCAAACGAAACGTCATAAAAAATCTGGATTTTGATATAGGCACCAATAAATATTGCCAAGGGATAAATTAAATTATGTGTACATGTTCGTTGAGTAAAACAACGCCATGTAAGATTCTCTTTCCGCTAGTAAAGAAAAAAATCTTTTTGCTCTTTTGAAAAGGTATATTTATACTCATAAGTCTTATAAATAGTAATCGCTAATAAAATAATTATTTGTTAATTTTATTAATATACCATTGATTGTACCTGACAAAAAATTCCACCTGGATGATTAAACAAGTATACTCGGGTATAAAATTTACCAGAAATTATATGTCTGGACAAACTTTATGTAATTGGTTCCAATAATCATTTCACAATAATCATTTTTCCGATAAACATACTCTGATAATCAATTCCCTGACACTTCGTTTTTCCGACTCATTTTGTTTCCCTAGTACTTTCATTTTTAACTTACACATATAAAATGTTATAAATATTTACTATATATTAATTCACGTTAATTTAGTGCATTTTTGGTTGAGTATTGATATTTTTACTAATATATATAAAATCAGGATGTTTTAATGAGATAAACGGCAATTCTAGACCATTTTATCTCATCAATGCATTTTATTTTTTTAATTTGTCTATTATTCAATAATATTTCAGAAAATACCAAGCTGAACCCTCTGCCAATTTTTTTTTAAAATTATTTAGCCAATCGAATGGAATAACTCAATCAGACGTTCATACGAATTAGTTCAAAATTAAAATCCTTTTATAAAATTGTTATCTCTTTATTTGTTCGTGTTATACACATTACGTACGTACAATGTGCGCAATTTCTATACTAAGAAAACCTTAATTGTATATTTTCTTTTTAGTTATAAACTTAATTAATATAAATAAAATTGTATTTTAAATATTTATGAAGCTCATTAGCTTATTTTAAATAGTTATATTAATAAATATCGTTTATATTCGCTACTAGTTAACGCGAAAAAAATGAAATTTAGACAAATGTACTTTACCATCTACCCAGGGTAGCCGCGATCACAACCTGGATATTTGATTACTGGATTACCCGCGGATAACCCGAGTGATACCAACCTGAGTACAATCTCTAATTCGTAACGCTATCATATTCTTCTACCAATTCGGAGAGTCATGAATTGATTCCCTATATCGTTATCACCCCTTTCTTTAGTAACCTCCCTGACATTATGATTGGTTTTTGCGACATCATGACGTAAGGTAGGACATACAATAAATAATCGTTAAATTTATTGGTACGTACTTAATCTGAAAAGTTCATGTATTAATTGCTAGTACTACAGTAAATTTACCGTTCATTCAAATCGATAGTAACGTTATATGGCATAAGTGCTACTAAACAAAATTCATTTTGTGAATACACTTATTTATTTATTATTTGGTAAACATCATGAAAACATAAGATCGATGGAAGAAATTCATGTAATCTTAGAATGTTTTTAAATGAAAAGTATCAAAATTTTCATGTCTTTTATATATTAGCACTAAAATATTATCTCTAAACTATGAATTATTCAAAATGAATCTCTTGGGAATTATCGCAATTTTTATATTAATTTGCTATCTTTTATATAAATTTTATTTCTATCCTTTATACTTGTCACCATTATGCAAAATTCCCGGTCCGCCTACTAATAGTTTGATCTTTGGTCATTACTCTTTATTAAATGACAAGGTAAACTTGTACTAATCTTTATCATTTACAAAATTATATTCTTATGTTTTATATAAATTTTTAGTTAGATGAAACCATAATTCAACTAACTGAACAATATGGCGGTATTTTCCGTTTATATCTGTTGTTTAACGAACCTCATCTCATAATTACCGATCCCAAACTTGTTCAAAAAATTTTAACTTCATACGATTATCAAGGTGTTACATCTAGAGCTTTAGCTTATGATCTTTTTGGAAGTGGAATAGTTCGTGCTCAGGGAGATAATCATAAACGACAAAGAAAATTGATGAACCCTTTATTTACTTTTACTATTGTTAAAGAAATGATTCCAACATTTATTAAAGGTGGTCAACAACTTAAAGATTATTGGATAAACCAAATTGGGGGTAAAAAAAAGGAAAGGATTTCGATTACTAATACTATTTCCATGATAACTCTAGATATTATTGGCTTGGTTGGTACGAATTAATAATCTTTTATTCTATTAATTTTATTATTATTAAACTTATTATTAAATTCTAATCATAATATTATCATCCTCTTAAAATGGTTAATTTAATATAAATAGGATTTAATTATGAATTTAATTCTATTACAGGAAAATCAGAATTAGCAAAAGCATATCAGATAACAGGCAGTTTTAACAAATATCCATTATATAGTGCACTTATTGATATCTTACCTTTTATTAGAAAACTCCCATTCAATTATAACATTCGTTACAATAATTCACTCGAAATTATTAGAAAAATTTCTGAAAATTTAGTTATTGAAAACAAAAAAAATCCTATTAAAGGAAATGATTTATTATCATTATTGGTAGAAACTAATGAAAAAACTTTGGATCATGAAAAATTAACGCATGATGAATTGGTTTGTCAGGTAAAAAATATTCTTACGATAATCTACGCCATTTTCTTAATTTTAAATTTGTACTAATGTTATATATATTAAATCTTAGATTAAAACAATTCTCGTAGCTGGTCATGAAACCACAAGTATAACATTATCTTGGGCATTATATTTTCTTGCAAAACATTCTAAATATCAAGAACAACTTCGTGATGAAGTAATTAATGCATTTCCTGATCAGAATCATCAACCAACTTTTGATGAAATCGATCAACTAAAATTTTTAGAATGCGTTTTCAAAGAAACTCTCAGGATCGTTTCACCTTGTAAATATATTAAATATCATATCATTATATATTTTAAAATGTTTTTTAAGTTTCTAAATCGACTAATAAAAATTTTTTTTCTAACGTAAAAGCACGAACAATATTTCGCATTACTACAAAAGATGAAGTATTTGATAATTACGTTATTCCAAAGGTTTGTGTACTTTTTTTAAATGTTGGCTATATTATTTTATTATATAAATCAATTCATATTAACGTATTGTTTAATCATCATTAGGGAACAAAATTACAAATTTCTGTCAATACAATTCATCAAAATCCCTTGATATGGGGTGAAAATGTTAATGAATTTGATCCACTTCGATGGCTTGATCCAGAATTAAAAATTACGAATTATACGTTTTTACCTTTCGGTGCTGGCCATAAATTGTGTATAGGATGGAGAGTAGCAAGTTTGGAATTTAAGGCTCTTCTAATAGTATTAATTAGAAGTCTTAAATTTAATGTTGTTGAAGGGTTTAATTTTAAAAAGAAACCTATAGGTATGTCTAGGCCTATTCCTGGTGTAGATTTATGGATTTCAAAGCTTGATAAGTAAAGTTTTCAAAAGTAGTTTACGAGATCTTTTTTTTTTAAAAAAAAATCATGAAGTGTATTGAAAGTTGCAGTAATCAAGTAATCTAAAGTATTAGCTATATATATACATATTGCACATAGCTATTCTTATTCTGAATATCTGATCACATTAATATGTACTATCTTTAACATTCATTAATAATTATAAATGAATTGTGTGCTAACGTTATTTTTGTTTAGTTTCGATTGATTTGTATTAACATTATTAGTACAGTCATAAAGAGACAACATTTTAAACTGCCTGATCTATTCAAGAAATCAAAAATTTTCGGATAAATCACTTCTTTATAAAAACGTATTAGGATTAATCTCATTTGTATATTACACTAAATGAAGTACAAATGCTTTTTAATTGTTGTTTGGATTTGCGTTTTCTATTGTATTAATTCTTTTGATTATCAAATTATCAAATTTAGTTAGATTGTCTGCGCATTAATCCTAATATTTGTAACATTTTAATGGCTGATATACTGTAACCTTTAATAATTTTTTTTTTTATTCACATAAAATAATTCGCTAAATGTGACAAATAACCAATCTTGATAATGGCTACACAAAATGAACTTTCAAATACTACCTATCAAGATCGCAATAAAAAAATTCTTCGATAGATGCACCTACAAATTGCAGGACAATTGGAAAATTTACTGATGACTGTATCTATAAGTTACCAAGTCGGAATTAATAAGTTATTAACTTCGGAAAACTTAGAAACTTATTAGTTGATCGTCGATGATTTTTAAGTTGTCCCAGAATTTTGCAAAAAAGCAGTAATGATGGCTTGGAAACTAAATTTTGTCTTTAGAAATTGTATTTTTCAAATCTCCAAGGTTTCATGCTATCCTATAAGATTACTCTGCCGTAGCATGTCTTATAAACGGGTGTTCTCAAGCAGCACGCTCGATGTGATTACTATTGATTGAAATAATGCTCAACCATTAATTAGACCATTTTTAAGATTTGATAGTATGATGTGAAGATCGATAGTATGGACGATGATATGATTGAAATATGCTCAAGTATCTTCCACAATGGATTAATTTATGATCGTGTTGGTGCTCAAATATTGTGATTAATTAAAAAATTGATGCTTGAGCAAACGTCTTTTTCATTACTACCATTTGTAATTATTTTTTTACAGATACACGTAGAAAAAAAAATCAAATTAAATTAATGAAAACGATGGATCAACGAAATGATGAAGAATCCACGACACTACCAAATTCTGCTACTTCATTTTCAGAATTTATTACGAACCAATAGAACACAAAAACGTGTCTTTTTTATTTGCGGCGAATATTTTTAGCATAAGTAATAATAATTCGTCGACGTTGATAATGATTTTGAAGTTCCATAAAAATAACGATAATAATGTGAAGTACTTGAATAATTTTTTTTTTCTAATCAATCAATGAAAAATTTCGACCAATAAACGCAACTCTATGATAAAAAAAAGGACGTCTTGGCCTCTATCTTTTGTTGATTGGAATGATAAATACCCTTGGTGGTTAAACGAATTTCCGCTAATAAAAATTTTTTTTCTGATGCATTAAACTTTCGTTACGTGTTTTATTTATTGAATAATCAATACAATTGATTCGTTAAACTATTCTTTTACTAATAAAAATTTACCCTCAGACCCGTTCCGACGGGTTGATTAAGGTAAATTCTTTATAAAATAATTAAATAGTATATATTGTATTCAACTAAATTGTGAATTGAAATAAAAATTGATACAGCCCATAACGAAGTGAGTAGAGATAGGGCTTGTGTATCTTACATAAGGATTTCTATATTTATCGTGAGTCATGTGTACAAGGCCAATAGAAAATAACAACAAAATCTTGTGCGTCACACACTATTATTATAATAGAAAATTTTTGATCCGGTGAATCATTTATTTTTTGAAAAAACAATATGCAAATTTTTCCCATCTCTAAATCATATCGTAACACAACCATAAAAGGATATAACACGACCTCAAAAAGGAACACATCGTAACATGAGAATAAAGGGATGTTTTAAAATATTAGTAATCCGGGCTTATCCAAAAATTCAAAAAATAATCTTGCCACAAACAACCACATAAAGAATTGTGAATGTTGCAAAATCACAAATAAGTATAGTACTTTATGTAAAATCATCTTAACACACCCAAAAACAGATAAAATACCGCCAAAATGTAAATCGTTAACAAATGACGAAATTTCATCTGACATGTAATACATGGTAATACATTCAAAAAAGGAATCATCCGAATCGTATTATCGAGAAGTATTCATATTCAATAGGAACGCATTGGCACATTAGCATAATAAGCGCTAATCAAATTACAAAGAAATAAACATGTCAGATATTTTGGTTTTACAAAAATTTCGCGCACAAGAATTTAAGGAAGTCCGTAAATATATTTAATGGATGTTCGTCAATATCTTGCATCCGAAAACTTTTGATTTATTATTGGCGCAAAGAAAGAAATAATTCTAATTTTTATAATTTCAAAAGGTATTTAGTGGCTTTGGCCCAGGATATTTTCGCATTTTTCGATAACTTATCCTATTTTACCGAAAATATATTATGAAAATGCCTATAACAATTCTTTTTTAGTAGGAGTTTTCAATTTATAATCCTTATGCTTGTCAAGGGATATTAAGTGGTGCGCCTGGTCCAGTCCTTGTCCGGTCCCCAAAAAGTCTGGGTCCAAAGAAGTTAAAGGACTAGTTCACCCCGTCAAAAATAGTTAAAAAAATCGGTCCTACTCTAGTGGTTTACGTATATAACAATAGTTAATTGTAATTACATGGATTATATTAAATTCGTTCCAGTATTATAATCATATTTAGATTGACGTAAATTAGCCAATTAGACGGCCTTGAGATCACTATCCCAACAATCCCGAAAGCAATATCTGACGTGCCAGCCAATCAGATTGCTGGATTGGCACATTATCGACAAGATCCTTTTTAAATTTTAATTTTTTTAAAACTTCTAGTGATTGTTTCTCAGCGACTACTGGGTCAAATTCGATAAACGTTTTTTTATTTATTTTAATTCTATAAACATGTAGAATGAAAATAAATAAAAAAAATTTATCGAGTTTGGTCTGGTAGTTGTCGAGAAATATTCATAGAATTTTTTAAAAAATGTTAAACATCGTAAAACAATGCTGAAATCGTATTCTTTAAACTTCAAACAACTTTTCCAATAACTACCAGACCAAATTTGATGAAACCTTTTTATTTCAATCCTATTGACTTGTAAATTTAAAATAAAAAAAGTTTATCAAAATTCATTAGGCGGTTGTTGGCGAGATATCTTCGTTTAAAGATGTGTGACAATTTAGAATGTCAAGATGTGGCGAAGATTTTTTAAATTTTAAACGAAGATATCTTTATAACCACCTAATAGAGCTCAATGAATTTTTTTTTTATTTTAATCCTGCAACATTTTAAAATCAATTTTTTTTTTATAAAAAAAAACTCCAAATTTGGACTGGTGGTTATTTGAAATTGTTGTTTGAAGTTTAAAAAATATGATTTCGGACTTGTTTTCCCAAGATGTTCAACTTTTTTTTGAAAATTTATAAGAATATTTTTCGACAACTACTAGACCAATCTCAATAAAAAAAAAATTTATTTTCATTATATATGTTTATAGGATTAAAATAAAAAGTTTATTGAATTTAACCCAGTAGTCGTTGAGCTAGAAGGATCTGTTGTCGATCAGGTGCTAATGGTCGACACATCACACAACGCATTCCCTAAAAAGTCTGGTCCTGAACTTGGACCATTTAAATTCTCTATGCTCGTCCTTATGAAAAACAAAATGCAGAATTTAATAGAATTTTACAGGATTTGGATGATTTATATATATTATTAGTATAATTTCCATATTACACCGAGAGAAATGTGATGGTGTCTATGAAGAAATGGTTAAGTTCTTGACCAACTCAATAACATTTCTATTCCGTATATAAAGTACAGAATTTGTAGCAAATTCTGTGTGTAATATGTAATTATAATTCGTTTAAATGCAGTAAAGTTTTATTCATTCTGCATCACTTATTATTATAGGACGTTCATTGGAGAAATTTCTATTAGTGAATGTCTTGTCAGTGAAATTTTCCACGCTGAAAGAAATTAATATGTCGTGTCATTTACTTTTTTTCATTTGATCCGAACATTTCAAAGGTTATTATCGATAACTCAGTTAAGTGAGATATTCGTGAAATGTGACGCTGGTAAAGGAATGATTTTATTTTGGTACAATGATTATGAATCCATTCAATATTTCACTCTTGGCGCTTAATTCTCAAAGTTTATTTCTTGGTGAAGGCTGTTGGAAAATTAGCGACAAAGAAATGAGGTATTCACAAATTAAATCGAGGATATGTATTTGGAAAAGGAACATGGGTCAATGAAAATTAACTTCAAGAGATACAAGAGATATAACATTTGCTATGGTATAACTGATTGTTTTAATGTGTTACTACTATAAAAAAAAAAAGATTATTAACTTGAGCATAGCCATAAAGGTGTGAAAAAAATTCTAGAAATAAGCTCAGAAATTCATAGGCAATGAAAAATTTAACCACATATAATAGTTAAAGCTTTAGGCAAAGCTTAAAAGTTTTATTTAGAAAGACTGCAAATGGAATATTTGAAAGTAGAAAAAGTCAGTTTATAGCTACATAATTATAAGTTGAACCTCTGAGAAACATTTTCTTAGAAATATTGCAAATTAATAGTTATACACTGGGTGGCATGGGTATAAGCAGAAATGAAATTTCCGCTTAAACACATAGAACCCAGTGTATAACTGATATACCCTGCGATCTCGATATAGTGACCAGGGTATAAAACCATTAATTCAACATCCGCTTGGCCAAATTTCAATTGCAATAATAATCGTAGTGTATATCATCTATATAATAATAGAGTTTCATTTGTTAATGCTATAATCATCATATTAATTTACTGCGTTAATTTGTGTAGGTAACCTCATATTGAGGTTGGAACCGGTTTTAAAAATTCGAGTTTATCACAACATTTATTATTGATGTGATGAATTCGAACTTTGGTGTGATAACTCGAATTTTGATGTGATAAACTCGAATTTTAAACCCGGTTCCAACCTCTAACCTCATCATGCGTACCATCATGGATCTCTAATTCTCCATATGGGTAATTGTTAAATAATAATTCGACGCCTAGTAAGCTTGAAAGCTCTTCATATTTTTCTTCATTATTGTTATAATTGTTATTAAAAGATTACATAAATTTTTAGTCTAAATAGAATATTTGCAAATTTAATCTCACCTGGCGTAATCTCAAATTTAACGCCGTCACTAGAAAGAAGATAAGTTTTTCCATCATCATCCGTAATAAAATCATAGTCGCCTAAAGAAAAATAATAGTTGATATAGGATATTTAGAATTGCAAAGATAATAAATTAATTAAGAAAGCTTCTTTACCTTCTTTAACCGTTTTACAATTTGGACAACAATGAATAACGTCCTTTTCTGTTTTATTTTTTTCATAACAATCAAGACATTGGATTATACACTTTCTTCCCTTATCTTTGCACCTATTACACCTAAACTTTCCTATACGGACGCATTTCTTCTTGTCTTTACGACAAGAAGCACATTTAGTCGAAGGTTCTGGCATAGGTAGATATAAGATGCTCAAATAAAAATGAAAAAAAGAGGTGGCGAGTAAAATTTTAAATTCGATTATCATTAAATACTAAATATTCCGACAAAACTTCGACAAGCTGTTATCCCTAAGGTACTTTTTAAGATAATTCGATACACAAGTGATAAACATTCCGATATTAACTATCGCAATGACTGCTTTATGGCGATTAATCTTATATTGAACGTTTGTTCTAAAGAATAAGTATTATAAATCCAAAAGAAGTTATGGTTATTACGTTGGTTATTACGTTGAACATGGTAGTTCCAAACTGTTTCAGTCTTTGAATAATTTTAATTACTTTTTCAATTTTCATAACATGAGAATTATACTTGAAGGAATTTTTAAATACGGTCGGTCGTCTTACGTAAGACTATTTATAGTTTAGGGACACAAGATTACGGCAAACCTTTTTCAGAAGCTATTTAAACCATTAGACAAAGTAAGCAGGTTAATCATTCTGTCGATAATTAAAAAGTTAATATGTCTAATAACGAATTGTATTTCGAAATTTCAAGATCCAAAATAGCTTGCAATTTTTGCAAGAAAAATAAAAAGAAATGTATAATTCATCTTCCAAGCACAATATGCGAAAGATGTAAAGTGAAAAATATATCATGTACCTTCACATCTACAAAAAAGAGCGACCCTAAATTACAATCAATGCCAAATATATCGCATTTCAGCTTTAATTCACAGGTTAATACTATTGTACCAAAAAATTTGTCTCTGAATTTAGTTTACTAACGCTATTTATTTTATTTAAGGGATTAAATTTCAATACAAATATCGAAGGTAAATTGCTATAGTTGATTATTAATCCACGAATATTCCTATAAAATATGGTTATTGTATATTATTAGACTCTCAGGAAAATGCAATAACCGAACCGTTCAAGACTGTAAATCAAACTGATGAGAGCTCTTCCTCGTTAGCACAAATTTCGAATGTTAATACTGAAACATCCTATGGTAATTACTGTTATTTTAATCTAAAATTATATTGATATGATTTCAATTATCTTCGATGACTTAAGATGTGACGTCCAATCTTAATTTAGTTCAATGCAATACCCTCAGCACATTAGAAATCATGCAATTAATTGAAAAGTACAAAAGTAAAAGAAAGACACCAAGCAGTTTCCTTATCTATAAAAACAAGCATAAACTTAACCCTTCTGAAGCCAAGATGAAGTATGAACACGAAACTGACGACGTACGTGAAACCTATAAAAGATTGGCGGAAATGATGCGATCAGGATCTACTTCAAACTTTATCAACCTAGCTGCAACATCTTTTGAATCAAGTGTTCAAAATACATCAATAAATCTTCATCAACCAATTACTCAAAAAGAACGTGTGCCCGATTTTAATAACATTTTCGACGAAACAGCATCACTACAACAAACATTCCAACTATCACATCTATCCTGCCCAAGCTCAAAATCAATTCAGGCTCATTTGACCAATAACACTTTGTATCCCATGTCGGCAATAGTGCAGGGAGAATATTGCAATGAATTGAACTCTATTTCCTCTTATCAAGCGCTTATTAGTCCTACTATTAATCCGTTAGACATTTGCAATAAAAATGGCTTGATTACATCAAATGGGATCCTAAATGACAAACATCATATGTCTAATTGGTCAGAGTTTCAAACTTCAAGCAATGCATATGTGCAAGGAATTAATCAATTTGAAAATGATGTGTTATTCAATCATAATAATACTGCGCCTTGTATTGATGAAGAGTCATTGTTATTCGGGCAATCTCAAATGGAAATGACTCAAATTATAGAGCAACCATCATTTTTTCCTAGCGAAGAATCAATGTTTTACGATAATAATTTAAGGTATTATTTCTATTAGTTCATCAGGTATGACATATCTGCGGATTTGTGGAATGGATCTAAATTAGGGTCCTTGGATTTAACAATTGCAGAATGTATAATACGTAACTGCAATTTTGGGGTCGGCTTTACAATCACATGGTTAAAATATATAGCTAATTTAGGTCAACTCTGCAAATTTGCCATTTTGGTTCCGGTTAATATGATTCAGAAAATTATGGCGCAGTTTAATAACTTTGTATACATCAGTAATAATATCTTTATTCATGATAATTCATATAGTTATCAAGATATTTTGTGTATAATATATTATCACTATATACTATATATATATTCATTAGATGGTTTATCGTGGGTGACAAGTTGCATGTAATATTATTCATTATATTTATACAATTTTTGAAATTATAAAATATTATAATCGTTAACAAAATAATTAAAATGCGATAAATTGAAATATGAACTTAATTGCTGATTTATTGTGGTTTGCAAAAATATGTGAAATTTGCAGCTCAAAAAAAAAGAAAGAAATCGATGATTTCTGATTCTGATTGCCGATTTTTAACATTTTTTTGCAGAAATAAAAGTTGTAAATTCATAATTTTGTAACATATCTTGATTTAGCATCTTTTGTAGAACTTGATTGCATAATATTAAATTTTGTTTCTTTTCTAGCCCGATAAAATTGCATGATAAGCAAGAAGAAAATTAAAAAGTTGCGCCAAATTAGATTTTATAAGAATTATTACATGATACTAGAAGATTTATTTGTTTATTTCTATAGAATCATGAAATTTTAAAGTAAAAAACATAAGGAACTTTAGTATAATTTTTTTTATTGGAATATATATATATATATCATTACAATGAATTTTAGAAGTTGTACGAAAAAGAAACTTTGTGCATCCAAAGCATGTTCCGGGATAATAATTTTTGTCATTATAAATGATTTTTTTTAAAAAAAATGTGTGCTAAATAAATATATATTATATATATGTGTGTATAGCAAGTCTTTATATAATCTATACCACCTAATTCAGAGTTCGTCCGTTTAAACGTTTTTGATTGGTTACTTGTAAATTGGTATAATCCAAAAGACTTTTGCTAAAACGCACCTATGGTGTTTTACACCTATACATATATTATCTCAAAAACTGGCTAATTTAATCAATGCAAGATGTCTTAAGTAAAAATGCTCTACGCCTCTAAAAACCCCTTCTAAACCCCAACCCTAACCCTAAACTCTAACACTAACACTAACATGTGTTGAAAATTTTTATATTCAAACTTAAAAAAATTTAAAAAACATAATAAAACATATGATAGGTGCAAAACCACCATAGGTGCGTTTTATAATAAATGATCCAAAATCTGTAATTATTACGATAGCTCAAATATGTAACTATTGCTTCTTGATCATCCACATGATTGTCAAATTTGGAGATCGTCTAAAAGCAGATATATAGCCATCATGTGATTTTTTAATTTAAGTAATCAATTTTTAAAACTACGACCTCCAAATTTGTGACTATTGTGACATTCAATCTAAAATATTACGTACTTCTATCTAAACCACCTAATTCTGGGTTCATCCATTTAACCATTTTTGATTAGCAGCATCCAACAAATATTGGGAAAATTTTTGATCAGCCTAACAGTTTTTATTTTAAAAAATTGTAATTATTGCGACATTTGTATGTTTGAATAATTAATTGGTGAAAATCATATTTTTATAATCAACCTGTTAATTCTTTTATTTTAATGAGAGAATGTACAATTAACTGTAATCATTTAATCATTCAAATAAATTACCAGGGTGAATACGAAGTTTAATTCAATTTGCTTTAACAATTGTGTTTCAAGACATTGATTAACCATAATCATTCAATCGTTCAATAAATTACAAAGGTAAGTATGAAATTTAATCCGGTTCAGTTTAACAATTGTGCTTCAAGAGAATGTGTGATTAACCATAATCATTTAATTATTTAAATAAATTACAGGATGAGTATAAATTTAATTTGATTTGCTTTAATGAATATGTTTCAAGACATTGATTAACTGTAATTATTCAATTGTTCAAAAAAATTACCAGGGTGAGTAATAAGTTTAATTTGATTTGCTTTAACAATTGTGTTTCAAGACATTGATTAACGTTAATTATTCAATCATTCAAATAAATTACTGGGGTGAGTATAAATTTAATCCAGTTCACTTTAATGAATGTGTTTCAAGATATTGATTAACCTTAATTATTTAATTGTTAAATAAAGTACATTTCTTGTGAATTTTGCTTAGGTACAGTTTTTTTCTCTTGATTCCTGATATCAAACTGTGGGCCCTGAGTATATAACAGACAGTAGGTGCCAAAATGTCAATGTTTTCTTGTTCTTTAAGGTGGAAGCAAACTTCGACCGCACTAAAACAGCGACAGGAGACAATTAGGTTAACAATTCTTCTTTGGGTTGGTTTGCCCATAGCAACTGAATGACCAACCCTTTTTAAGTCCTCAAGTATGCAGTGTCGTAGCTACTTATTTTTGATATAAATTACGGTAGAGGAGCTAATATTAAAGGTAAGTTCTACTGCCCTTGCTGTGTGTTCTTTCTGCAGCAAAAGTAAGATGTTAGCTCTTTGGGCTGGGGTTGTTTGTTCTTTTTTTTGTAAAGTTTGATTATCAATAAGATTCAGCATTGTACAACAATACAAAAACAACAATGTAATTTACTTTTATATTGTTGTTTTGTGTCATAAAATGCCTTATCTGATCTTAATTTTGAACTATCAAAAGTAATGTACCACATGTTTTATGTTACATACATGATTATTTTGAATTGACACTAATAACATTTATTAAAAATTTAATATCAAAACAAATAACTATTCATAAATAAATTAAAAAAAAAAGAATAAGCCTAGAATTGCTCAAAATAATATGATCTAAGCAAATTTTTTTTTTTTGCTCTATTACTTATAATCACTACTGTATATAATTGTATAGTAGTTATAATATATTTTTTTAAAAAATTAAATAAATTTTAATCAAATAGATTTTAAGAAATTATTTTTTAAAGTTACTAAGTAAATTTTAATAATAAAAAAAAATTTAAATTAAATATAAAAATTAAAAATTTTTATTTATAAAAAAATTTGAAATATAATCAAACACCAATGACTGCCTCTAGATTTATAGAGTACCTAATCCTGTTTACTTAATATGTTTTTGAGATATAAGCACCTTAGTGATGATCAATGTTATAGTTAGATTTATTCTTTATTAAATATTTAATTTTTTATGCACTTTAAATAATTACTTGTGATACTTTGGCATCTTGTACAGCCATGAGAACTGGGCATATAGCAAGCGATTTGTAAAAGACCTGCTATTCTTTTCAATTATCAATTCATCACACTCTATTGAGAAAATATACTTAAACAAATTTCTTTACAATACAATTGAATAATTTTAACTTTATTTCAAACTTTATTCTTTTACTCTTAATAATTATTTCAACTTTATTCAATCTCCTTTTACCTTTAAATAAATTTATTTCTGAAAAAAACAAATTACTATAAACTTTATTACTAACACTATATATATTAAAAACACCTAAACAATACTCAAATCATAATC